ACGCTGCTGCCAATCATGGGGAAAGAGATGAGAGCTTTCCTCACAGTCTGCTTGCCTCCTACTGAGTCTGTCTTGGATTCTTTCGTCCTCATTTATCTGTTCAATTCAGCATGGCTTAGTTACTCTCATTATTATCTGGATTCTCTGCAGTTCTGCAATTTGATGCTGAGGACACTGAGTAAAACCATTTTCACTCTGACATAGTGATGCTGGTTGAACCTGCATCGGTGGTCCAAATGAATGGGAGTCATCTTTGTTTGCGGTTCAGTGGCATTTGTTTAATCCGAATTCATTATTGAATCCAAATCCTTTTAAATGATTTAACAAAATGTACAAGTACCTTAAGTCAAAATGAACTAAAACTCAAAGATCTCTAATGTTGACAAACTGGCTTAAAACCTAAATTGAGTGAGCAGCATCAAGGCATAAAATGTAGATTGCAATATAAGTGTGCAAAATTCAGGACCTCCATTTTTTCTCTAGAGAGGAATCATAGCATGAGTATGCTAGATTAAAAAAAAATTCAACTGCCATCCCTTTTCCAATGAAAGATGCTTGCAGCACTCGCTCTAAAAGTTGCTAAATCTAGCAAGAAAGTCAACAGGTCAGCAACACTTACAGCACGTGAATTCAGGCTTCCCTCCAAAGCCCCTCCCCCAAAATGATCCTCATGAACAATGAACATGGCTATTGTTAGTACTCATAGTTGTAAAGCTAGCTGCTTAGGAGAGACTCCATGAGTACACAGGCAGAGTGCAGGCAGGCTGTCCGATCATGTCATTCAGCCCTCAGAGCATTTTAGTTATTGATTGCTGGTGGGATGTAAAGAGAATTTCACCAAATATAATAAAAAGGTTTTGTTCTAGCTTTATTATATTAACTAATCCAAGCAAGATCAAGTCTAAAAGGGGGCCGTCTCTGAAACTAACCTGAGCTGTGTCCAACCCAACGTTCTGACCCTGATCTGGATCGGGCATGGATCAGCAGAACAGGAGTTGGTATTTGGGATGGTCTGGAATTTAAATATGATTTCACTAACAAACTACACAAGAGACACCATGTAAGAGAACTACAACTGAAACATGTCTTCATTTGGAACTCAAGGTAATGCAGTTCAGTACAGTTCTGTTATTCAGTGGGTTAAACAGTGTTGTGTAAGGAACTCCAGCTGTAGCCTCCAGTATGTGAGAGGTGATGAGCGGGGATTAACTTGTGACAACTATGAATGGGTCGAATGAGGCTGTTCAGTGTGTTCAATGGAGCTTGTCACACATGGGTTTCCAGTGTGACAGTGGTATTATAGGATGACTATTGTATCACAATGCCCTTTGCACTCAACTAAAGGCAGAGGGGCTTTCAGCTTTGAGGCCATGATTGTGTTGAACCAGTGATTCTACATCCAACACTTATTGTTTAAAGGAACTATTAGTTCATTTCACACCAATGACTTGCACCAATGTCTGTCTTTACTAGGAATGCTAGTGATATGTAAATATGTCACCATGAAACATCTGTAGCAACGTCCAATCATAGACTGTATAGTGTATGTAGTGTAAGCCACCACAACGTAAGACAATTCAGTTCATTGTATTTAGAAACTGCTAATATCCCCTTCGTCTGCCTTTGTCCGTTCCAAACACATCTACCGGCTTCTAAACAGAAAGTAGTAAAGCCCGCCTCTTGCTCGATTTGATTGGCTGCCTGGGCCAAGTGTGACTTTGGCAAGCGATGAGACTCCGCGCCTGGCGCTGAAAAGTTTAGTGTATTTCAACTTTTATGCACGTCTAAAAAATCCACTAGAAAAACACAACGCATGGTGCAGAGGAGGAGCACACGCCATGTTTTTTGCAGGTGTTGTCGGGACCTTGTGGGGTGGCACCCTGTATTGCAGCCTCTGCCATCAGTATGAATGTTGACATGAATTGTACGTGTAGGGATTTGAGTGGTTAGAAAACACGATAAATACAATTCCATTTACCAATAACCTACTCTTTCCTAAGTAGTGGCTGGGTTCATCAGTCAGTCATGGACATCCTGATCGACTGGATTGGCCAGCAGTACACTGAAACTAGCTAGCTTGCCAGCTAGCACATATGCAAATGACTAGAGCTAGTGATCTAGCGTGCTATGAATCAACAAAGCGGGCTAACGCCAGCTAACTCAATGATTCAATGGATCAAACTTGTGGGATAAGTGGTGCCAAAACCACGACTCATCTGATACCACAGTCCCTGCTGGCGTTTCATCAGATATTACACCACACACCGGTTTTGTGAAGCGCATTCCTAGCTGGGCAACTGGGATCATATTGGTTTCAGTGGCATTTAAAATACGATTTGACTCGTGAAGAATGGGATTAGTGATTTCTCATTTAATACACGGTGTTTTTCCTGACGGTCACATATAGATTAAATTGTGCTTAATTTTGACTGACTTACTTTTAATTTAGTCGACAAGTCAGAGGTTAAACCTGTGTTTAAATGTCAGGGAAATTAGTCGTTAGGAACATCTGTGGTTCCCATTCTACACATGGTAAGGTTTAAGGCTTCAGAAACACTTTGGTTAAGGTTCGGGAAAGATAGTGGTTTTGGTTGAAGTTGAGGAACTTTTAACTGGTTATGAAACAGTCTCAATGTAATACTGATGCCTCTATATGACCTACGGTACCTACCGAGTAAATGAGACTATCAGCAAGAAGATTTTCTATTTCTATTTAGTTCTTCTTAATGATCGTCATCGGTGCCACCGGGTCTGATTCTGATGAGAGCAGATGCAATCATGCAGGTTTACCAGAAACTACCTCCAGCAGAGACCGCTCCACCGTGGACAGACCCAGATCCTCCAGCAGAGACCGGTCCACCGTGGACAGACCAGGTTCAGGCTTTGCTGCCAACTTCCAACCTGCAGTCGGAGCTCCGGAGGGAGGAAGAGAACTCAGCACCCTGCAGAAGTGTCTCCTCTTCCTCCTCCAGGAGCAGAGCTTCTCCTCTCTGGGAGCCAACACCGACACCACGCTGCTGGACACCCAGGACGTATTGGTGGACCCCCTGGAGGTCAGGGAGGCACAGGAGAACCAGGACTGAGCGGGGCAGACTGTCAGTCGCCTGCTGCAGTAAAAATGTTGTTTTCTAAAGGGTCTCTGGTGCTCGAAAACACTACCACTTTCGTCCACAGGGGCTGCCAAAGTCAACAAAAAATGAAAGTTCCTTGAAGCAGCTTTCGACATAAAAAAATGTCAACACGTCCAACAATCCTTCCCAAACTTTTGAAATGCTTTGACTTGCACTGTGTCTACACAGAAGGTTTAGCATGAGAAGCAAGTTAGCAGAGCAACAGCAGCTTTAGAGCTCCGTCTGTGTCTACTCATGATGCAGGCACAGCATTGAGTGAAGCTCAACCTTGGCGTGTTGTGCATGGCCACACTTGAAGGCAGGGAGACAAGCCTGCTGTCACAGAGAGGGATGGGGATAACAGTCTCTCCTCATAGGCACTCATGGTGTTGCATTTGGTTGTTCACATGGAAAGTGACGGACGTAGTTGTGTGAAGAATTAATAGAAAAGAGATGGAGACCTGATCAATCACTGACAGTTGCCAAAATAGGACTTAATAGCCAGCTGTAGGGAGGTGATCTGACAGCCAATTCCATTTTGGATCCGGTTCCAAGATCCCTAAGCAAATGTTTCATTTACAACCTCTCTTTAGCCTCTTTCTGTCATGATAGGCATCTGCAAAAAAACTGGTTATTGTTACAAATGTGCTGACAGTCGTTAACAAGACTGACATGGCAGACTGTATGTATACACTTTCACTTTAAAGTCAACCAAAGTGCAAAATGTGCAGAGGGGTTTAGTCCCTGTTTAGATATTTATCTAAACCCTACATGTTGCATTCATGTCTTTACATCTCTCGATATGCTTTACCTTAAACCTCTTTCAGACAATAACTCTGTACATTAAAAAGTCTTATATTTAATAATGTGAACATTTGCACATTTCTACAAAAAAAACTACCACTTCTAAAAAACTCTTTCATTGACATATAATGTACCTTTTTCATATTTTCATTGTCATTCTCTCCTTCACATCTTTCATTTTAAGTCAGATATAATCTACATCTGTTCCATCTTTTTTTCCATATTTTGGACTATTTTATATTTGCTTCCTAATTTTTCTAATTACTTGTAGTTTCCTTTTCTCTTACTGTGGTTATGTTTTGCACTAACGAACCAAATCAAATTTATGGTACCCGGAAACCTACTTGGCATCAAGCTGGATGCTGTCTGTAGCGTCCATGTTAAAGTAATGAATGGAGTTATTTGTGTTACCTTTAGACGGACAGCACTGGGCGTCCGTGTTACTGGGACCAGTGCAACAACTGTCTGTCCTGTTCACTCCGCAGGTGTGTGTGTGTGTGTGTTACGGCGGCTTGAGCTGCCTTGTTTATTTATCGTTAAACACACTGCAGTTGACAGCAACAAAATTAAACTCACCAAAAACCATCTTGTTTAGTTATTGCACTGTTCCAACAAAACAAATTTAAAATAAAGCCTTCATTCACTAAGTTAGAGGTTCCCCACCGTCACTCTCTGACAGCCGAGCAGCAGCTGGACGGCTGTCGTTCTTTCGAGGCAGACTATTAAATTAGCTAAATAAAATCGGCAATTTATCTTAATATTAGCTGGATGGTAGTATCGAATTAATATACAGCTGCAGCACATCTCGCCGGTAAAGAGCATTTCTGTGGTTTCACTTTGATACTGAGTGAAATGAAAACAATACACATTTTTTAACAAAGATGGTTCATCTTACAAACCACCTAAAATGATTTGATGAGCAGATTCAAAACTGATTCCGATTTGACGTAATGCTATCGAGCCACATCATCTACAGTCGAGTGCTTTGGTAACTTCAAATGGCCATAAAGGGACTCTTTGTGTCTGTTATATGTGAGATCTGTCCCCGTTGTCTCAGATAATGATTGTCTCTGTTTCCTATCACAGGGAGGTGGTACATCCGCGAGGGCTGGCTCAAGGTGGTTCCTCCTAAAGGGGCGGACGCTACGCCCAAGATGTTCTTCCTGTTCTCTGACATGCTGCTGCAGGCCAAGCACTGCAGCCCGCTGCAATTCACCAACAGAGACAAGTTTGCCGGCCAGCACGCCTTCCCGCTGCAGGACTGCACTGTGGAGAAGGTGTTTGGCCACACCAGGAGCCAGGGAGGCCTGCTCAGCGTGAGTGTCAGACTCCGTGACAAAGTAGCGGAGTATTGTTTAAGATGGAGTTCAGCTCAGTCAGAGGGGAAAACAGCAAGGAGCAAACTGGCTTACAGGAAAAGCAGGAGGAAAGCTTTCATTCTATATCCATAATATATCTTCCAGAATGAGGACAGGATAGGTTTACATTCAAATCTATCTAAATACAAGAGACAAAGGTCTTGTTTTGTGCAAAGATGTATTCCAATACTGAATTTAAGAATGTAATAGAATGAGGACCGTGTATTTTGTCCAGCCTCTCTTTCTGTTTCAGTCACCAATAACTCATTCAATGTGCACGTGCTATGTACATATTGTATTGAAATAGACTTGGAAAATCAATGCAGCGTATATTTCAGAATATTATTTAATTTTTGTCCCACCAGAGCAGGAAGTGAGTCTTTGACTGCGTCCAGGATTCCAGACTGACTTGATGTTTATTACGCTAAAACAGAATGTGAGATTTGTTTTGTATGTTGGAAACCTAAATATGAAACGAATAGTGTTGTCATTTAAAAAAAAAAATTAGTTCAGACTTTATGATTCTCACACATCATCATCATCATCACCACACAAGGTTGGAACAGGTTACCATGGTTACGTATCTCTTTCAAGAAGTGGCGGGGTTATTACAGTTCAGCACATCCCAAAAGATTCATACGACAGCTTAGTCACACTACAGTATGTGGAATGATGCATCTTGGGTATGTAGTGCACAGTATGCGATTTGTGTCTCTCCAATATTAAACATAACTCAATAAAAAGAGTCTGCACTGAGACCTCTACCACAAGGAGATGTTTTATCATAGCAGATGTATCAAGCCATGTCTGTTGTTCTGCACATATCATACATTATGATACATCATACAGACACCGGATTATTCATCTTTCATGTGTAAGTGTTAAAAAGCTTTGGGACAAGTTGAAGATGCTGCGAGTGTTTGTTGGGCAGCAGGTGGGGAGACATCTGTTCATTGATTTGAATACACACATGAGTGAGTCCTTAGCAGAGGCATTATTTCATTTCCACTTCCGATGCATGTTGCCCGGATTTGTCTTACTTATGTCCGTGCCGCTTGCTGTTGTATAATGTGCCACACAGAGGTTCCCTGAATTAAAATGTCATTTAGTGGTGATTGTCAGAGAGGACTCGTGCTCCCTCTGCTCTCCTCCTCCCTCATCCCTTCACACCCTTGTCGAAGTCGCCCAGAAGTTGAACTTGTAACGCGTCTCTGCTCTCGGTCTGATCCGTCTCCCAGGTCTCGGTACAGCTGCCGGCTGACAAATTGTGTCTAAATGATGTAGCTGCTGTCATGAAACATTCAAAGGAATGAGTTGCGCGTCATTGAGTGAGTAACGGAAGCGTTTATGCAGCGAGTGTTTAGTGCCACTGCAGCATGGTATCAATATTCATTTGGGCAGAAGGAGCTCTTTATGTTGTGCAGCTAATGTGCTTCCCGTGATGCACGGTGGAGGTGCGGAGGTTTGATTCCTCACACTGCTGCCTGTCCACAACGTTATGACATTAGAGCACCAGCACTGTACGCTACTGAGACGCTGAGTGACCTAATAAAGAAATGAAACAATTATAATTCAACAGCTGATTTTTCATCTATTATTATTATTTATAACTTTAACACATCAAAGTGAGACGTGTAGCACATTTAAGAAGCTGGAACATGTGTTTTAGCTGTTGGTCAAAGGAAGACTCACTTTAAACAGGGCTGCACTTCATGATCATTTAAATTCATAATTAACCTGTCTTTTTTTTCAAATAATCCAACAATCCTTTGGTCTATTAAATGTCCAAAAACATCACCAGTTCTTACAAACTATGATGACATCTACACAGATATTCAATATAAAACAGAGACTCCTCTCACAAGATGAAACCAGAGAATATTTGCTGTAATAATTAACAAATGATCAGAATTGTTGCCAATTAACTTTCTGTCTATCAATCAAATAATTGACTAACTTCTTGTTTCAGCTCTAATTTAAAAACAAAGTAAGTTTTGATACTAAATGATTAAAAACAGTAATAAGTAGATGGAACGGATAATGAAAAAAAAATCTATAGTTGCAGCTTTTAAATTGTGTTTCGGAAAATAAAAAAGGTTCAATTCATGTCAAATCACCTTCTATATTTCAGTTAACACTGACTCAGTCTCACAACTATATATAAATATACTTTTCTCAAATGAATTTCACAAAAGAAGGCAAAGTTCCATCATTGTAGTAAATGCTGTCTAAACATAAGCAGCCATACTTGAGATTAGGCTGCAACTAACAATTGTTTTTAATAAATGAATAGATTGATCCATCTTTTATTTTTGCTATTAATAATGAATCCTTCAGCTGCATTACATTTTTCCAGAGCTCAGGATGACATCGTTACATTTATTTATTTTCTTGTTGGACCAACTTTGTATGTTTTGTTTCATATTTGTTTATGATATTCAGTTCATGACTAGGACATGAATGTAAGTTTGACTGAAGACTTTTTCTGATTTCCTGTTGATTGACTAATAATGAAAGAGTTTAACCTCAGTTTTTGAGACTTGACAGCATTCAGCACACACACACACGTTGGTCAGCACCATGAAATGTATTGTAATTTGATTTCTAATATAAGAGCTCTGATAACTGGTTGGTGTCAATGTAGCTGCTTTACCTGCCTAATAATCAGCCAATAGGCTCCTCTGCCATTCAGTAGAGTCTAGAGAACTAAACAAAGGACTGAGGACCTGGTGACGTGTCGTCATGACCAGGTCTGTTTGACTCCATCTGTTGAAGGCAGTGTGAATTAAAGGCATCCTTCAAGGGACTAATGAAAAGGCTGCAGACGGGGAGATTATTCCAGTGTGTGTGTGTGTGTGTGTGTGTGTGTGTGGGGGGGGGGGGTGATAGCTGCCTGCTGTAACAGAATCTCTCAGTTGCTGGATCAGATTAGGCTGCAGATCCATCTCTTCCGGCCCTCCAGTAAATACATCTTCCTCAAGCCTGTCGCCGAGCCCGCCGCGCGTTATCTAACGGCAGAAATGGCATTTCATTAGCCTCTTATCCCGCCGAGGCCCAAATGCATACTCAATAGCATTACACGTAATTTCTCATAAGGACACATTATTGATCCCGGGCCCCTACCTGAGCTCAAGGAAAAGGGCTGTCAGCACTCCAGGGCCCTCCTCGTCCAGGGCCATGAAGAATTAAAGGCAAATTAAATTTGACAGCTGTAAATGCCATGGCAATCTATATGCAAAGTTTGAAGGGGGGGGGGGGGGGGGGGGGGGCCTTTTATTAAAATTTCCCGTGTTTTTTTTTCTTTTTCTTTTTCTTGGTCACACATTTGTAGAGAGCTAGCTTTTAGTTGTGGCTCTCCCCACATTTTTCATCTTCTGTCTTCTCTCCCTCCATCTGTCGACCTTCCTTATTTCCTCCCTCCCTCCGTCTGCAGTCTTCCTCCCGCTAATATCCCCCTTGCCGCTTGAATATTTTCTCACATCCCTGACAGATTCCCTTTGATGTATAAATAATCAAGCTAAATTATGTGCGGCGATGATGCTCCGTGCTCCGCCGTCTCTTATTATACAAAGTAATTTCTACCTAAGAGGGTCAGATTTCCTGACAAATCCCTAATTACCGCGTTGCAATAGAAGTGGAATCTATTTGTGCATAAATCACCCACCGTCCCCCAAGTGGCGAGTGCCTACTATCGTGCGGCACTCAGTTCGGCACTACCCGCTGAACTCTGTAATTAGATAATACTTTTGATGATGGTACCTGTGACATCTTAATCTATTTAAAGTATAATTAGTAGAAACATCATTGTGTTTGATGAGCTATACTCTCCTCTGTACCAGTGTTAAGTTCTGTCCAAATACGCATGGAAATAATCGATATGTCACCTCTCAACAAGCTAGCTTCCTGTGTAGAGGTTGCAGCCGCAGGTAAATGTGAAGGGTCATTTAATATGCTGCAGGCCTAATTCTGATCCCCTGTAATAGCTTTCCTAGTGTAATTATGCCGCCGTAAAAGCCCCTTTTGTTTGGGCTCGCACAACTCCTTTTGGTTTGTTTGACAAGTACAATCTGAGGCTGGCTTCATGAGAGAGTTGGTAATTACTGTTTACTCAAAGGAAGAGGACCCTGTCACTCTGTAAAGGAGTCCCGAGAACACGTCCGTGGTGTTTCTCCTGTAAATGTGACAGATTCTGTTGCTTTGCTAGACATTTCCCTGTTTTCTTTACCTTCACATTTCAGTTTTTGAGGGCGTTGGAGGCCTGTGAGGAGCAGCGGGGGATTTCTGTATGAAGAGCTGGTAGAGACGAGAGCTTTTTGCTTGCTTTGGCCTGCCCTCTACTGTTTTTACAATGTTACTGCGGTCTCAGGCCCTGCTGTAGAGAGGACTGTGATTACTGACAGATGGTGAGGATACTAACATACAACCAAATGCTAATAAATCCACAGTTTTCTATTGCGAAAGCAAATCATGGTGCAGCTTCTGAAGAATGTCCTGGAGAACTTTGATTTCTCCTGGCAAAGTTCTTTAAGGGGGCGATGTGTAAGATCAGGCCAGACTTCTTGTCAACAATTTAACTAACATGATCAACTGAATGTGAGGATGTCAAAGACATCTCTGTATTGCGTTGCAGAGATATCTAACCAGCAACCGTCCTGTCTTATAACACCACTTGTGCCTCGAGAGGAGATCGAGTCACTGTAGCTTCCAGTCTGTCCTCAGTCCAACATGAGGGGACAAAGAAGTAGAGCGGCCCGAGGGCTTCTGTGTACGTCTAGATTCTACATAAACAACGTCCTCCCTGCTACCAAACTACTTCTCTGGGATCAGAGTGTGCGGCGGCTCTGGAGACGGACCGTCAGTTAGCAGAGCACAGCACAGGTCTGACCTGTGTAACGGCAGCAACACAAAGTCTGCTGATCTGGAGGGGGGGGGCGCTCTCCCAGGTTAGCTGTTGGGTTTTTTTCAAATAATTAATAACTGTAATTTTATATTGTTTGGACCCAGTAGTAGATGTGAAATGCTGCCCCCTACTTCCACATTGACTCTTAAACATAGAGAAACCCTGTCGTCTCTGGTTGTTGAAGATAACTTGCTGCATGATTTCTTCAGAGGGGAACTCTGGTGTCTGAGTGGTAGACGGTGCATGTCTTCACTCATTGCACCAAACCAAACCTGTTACTACAGGATACAGGTAGAAGTAGAAATATGAGCTAGCAATATGGCAGCACAGAGCCCTGAACAGTACAGTTAGAGGTATCGCACTAAAGTCTCACTGATATGAATGATGAAGTCTTAGCTGTGCTGCTAATGTCAGTGTGACATATGTGCCATAACGTCATCCAAACACCCAACTAATCTGGACAATTATGGAATTTCACAATCTCATATTCCAGGCCTGAAAAGTCCTGATGTAGTTAATCAAATCTTTGAAAGTTACGGAAAAGTCATAGAACTTAGTTGTGTTTAATGACATTCATTGTGACAGTATTCTGTGGATAACCTTCTGCGTAATGTAACTTGACGCCCAATTTATTTTCTGACGCTTTTGACAAGTGTCGCTCTGATATGTGTTGATACGAGACAATGTTCATCATGTACATTTCTCCATTGTCTCCCTTCAACAGAGCAAACAACAAAAACATGCTTCTACATAAGTGGAGATGGAATCAATGAGGAGCACAATGCACAAAGTGTTAGTAGCTGCAGATCAAGTACATTTCAAAGCCAAAGAAGGGGGGGGGGGGCACAGGGGGCAGATCAGATGAGCGGGTCGGTTTGTCAGACGGGCCCGCAACAGAGAAGGCACGGTGGCTCCTGAGGTTGTGTGGAGCCAGAGGGGCCCCCAGGAGTGACTGCTCAGAGGTCCTGAGTGATCTAGGTGGGGTTAGGGTTTAAATGATGTGCTTTATTGACAAATAGTAAAGTCTGAAAACATATTTCAATAAAGGACTGTGCCTGTGGTTTTAGTTTAGGACGTGAATATGCACAAAACCAACTATTACACATTGAGAAATGTTGCTGTTTAGCTGCCTAGATTAATAATAACAATTGCACACTAATATCATTTTGCACTAAAGTTCTTAATAAAATGAGAAAATACTCAGCAGTTTTAATTCACACAGGCGAATACAGAAGTAGGCTTCACCATGTGGTTATTTCATACAGTCTATTTATTGAATGAGCAGAAAAGATGCCACATTGAGATGTATGTCGTAATGGAGATATTAAATTGCCTATATCATGATAGAAGATTTTGGCCATATTGCCCAGTCCTGATTAGGGGTCCTTGAAAGGGAACCCCATCAGTCTTACCTCTCCTCTTCCTCCTCTTCCTCAGTTAACCTTCCCCAAAGCCAAACTGCTGCTGATGTCTTGCAACCAGGAGGATCTCAATGACTGGTACCAAAGCCTGAGCTCAGCTATCGGGTACGTACCTGCTGCAAATATGTTTCACATGTATACTAGTGAGCGCCCTCGCCCACATACTGACATAATGCCTCTTACCCTAATCTTAACCATTACTACTCATTGCCTAACCCCAACCCAAGACTCAACCTGACATCTTAACCCTCAACCTCCCCAGGTCTAACGCTCAAATAGGTTCCACTCTGTCTGCTAATAGCTCATTGCAGCACTTTATGTTCTGTATTAAAGGCTGATTCTGAGTGATGTATTCAAACCCAACATGTATTTTATGTCTGCTCCATTTCGTCTAACTGACATCATTTACCCCGAAATCCAGCCTGATATACAGTTAGAGTTCTTTTAGTTTTAAAACATTTAACAGATATCTAGTTTGGACTTTAAAAGTGTAACACGGAATCTGGAAATAGATTATTTCTCTGTTGTAACAATGCTTCTTGGCAATAAATCTTATACCGTTGGAAAGCCTGTTTATTTCCCTTTTAAATGGAGCCACATTTGTAAGGAACATGCATTTGTGGGATGAGCAGCACAGCTGAGTATGTGGGTTAGCCCATGAAAAATTTGCCAAATCTTCTCTGCCAATGTCAAACAGCAAATGTGCAGACATGGTAGAAAAAAAAAACCTGAACAGATTTGTAACCCATACTTTCAGATTCAATTGTGGCTAATTGAATAATGATAATGACATCAAAGTTGTGTTCTGATATAGAAGTGTGTGTGGATAGGGCAGCCTGGCTTTGGCTCAGAGGAAGAGCGTTACGTCTTCCAATGAGAACGACGATTGGATCCCCGGCTCCTCCGCTCACTGCTTGGGCAGAAACTAGACTAGAGTCCATGTACCACTCGATGAAGGCACTTGACCCTCAGCATTTCAAGTGTTAATTGTAAATAAATGTTATTACTAGTTACTCCTCATTTTTGTGTGTTTTCCTACAAAAGTCCAGCAGTACGTGTCAATTTCCGCTCATTACATGCTGTGATGTCTTGAGAGGTCGGGATCGGCTTGTAGAATAGAAAAGAAACCCTTTTTATTGTCATATACACATACACGAAATTTGACCTCTGCATTTGACCCATCCCTGTATATAGGGAGCAGTGGGCTGCCAATGACAGGCGCCCGGGGAGCCGGGGGTTCAGTGTCTTGCTCAGGGACACTTCGACACGTGGCACGTCCCAGTCGAGGATCGAACCGTTGATCCTGCGGTTACCAGACAACCCTTTGTGCTCACGTGGGTGCACAAATGAAGACAACAAGCGGTTGTGTTCTAACTCAAAATCATATATTTAGATTCTTTAAACAAAAGGTGAACTTCAGTCCAGCCGAAAGCCGCTACAAAAACCAAACATAAGTATCTTCCGTTTTCTTCGGGTTTGTTGTCTTTAACATAAAACTCTTTTCCTCTTTGTGCGCTCCTGTCCTCCTCCTCTCTCCAAACATTTCCTTCTTTGTCCACACCAACCTCTCCCGGGTAATCAGTCCCCTCTCTTTCAGCAGGGCCGCCACCTTGGCCCCTGCTGACTATGGGAAATGTAGTTCATTACCCCGATGTCATGATGGGTTCTAGTCCTTGCTGCAACCACCGGGAGGTGATGTATCTCCCGTTGATGACCCTCCCTCTCATGACATCACAATGCATACTGTCTTTTCAAAATAAACTTGCGTCTTCACAGGAAAAACAACTCTGTTAGGTTAAGGCAACAGAACCACTCAGTTAGGGTTTGGAAGAGATCGTTGTTTGGGTTAACATAACTACGTAGGTGCTGTTACTGAAGACGCGGCCTCCTGGCTGAAAGATGGTTGTTTGATGGACCCATCTACTTCCTCGTTCAGGATTATATGGAAAACATACAAAATCATTTTTTGGGATATCTACAAATTACGGCGCAATATTTTTCGTAGGTATAGCTACAAATACTGGATGAGACCAGCCTGACCCGGTAGCAGGTTGTGGATGTTTTTGAATGGATCGTGAGAGCACGTGCACAGTTTCTGTATTATTAGTTGAACCGTGCGACCCAGAGGGGCTAAAGAGAAAAGACTAAAGAAGTATCCTTTATGTTTTAGTATCCTAACATGCTTTTGATTTCATTATGACACAGAGATGCATCCACAAAAAGTAAATACACGAGTGTGTGTTGTATTTCACACTTCCTAGATATGTTCCTGTTTCTCATTATCTTATTGAAAGCGGTAAACTGTGTGTGTCATCGATAGGAAGAATAGATTGTGGGCTCGGTGTGTGGAGGATTTTCATTGTCCTAACTCTCAGTGGGTAAAGAATGACTCTCACACAGGCTGATACTGTACCTCAGGCCTGTCTGTCTCTCAGACAGCGCCTCATCATTGATCAGCCAGACCTCAGTAGGCCTGGCAGGAGGGTCCGGGTCAGCTCCGCTGTGCTGAGGGGCCAGCTCCGCTGAAGGCCCCGACCCCGGGCGTGCCCGGCCAGGCTAATTAGTCAATCACTTTGTCAGAGAGGAGGGGGGGGGGCTGTCAAAGAGGTCGGACCACCCAGCAGAATTGGGGGGGGGGGGTGCAGGCTGATGGCTCTAAACTCCAGGGAGTGTAATTAGCTGTGGTGGAGGACTGAGGAGAGGACAGGCTGAGAGGACCAGGGGTCAGCAGCACTCACACCACTGGTGTGTGTGTGTGTGTGTGTGTGTGTGTGTGTGTGTGTGCGCGTGTGTGTATGTGTGTGTGTGTGTGTGTGTGTGTGTGTGTGCGTGCGTGCGTGTGTGTGTGCGCAACCTAAATTATTGATTTAACAGAGATACACACTGCCTGGACTGACATCTCTGAATCTATCGAATGTTCTTAATGATTATAAAAAATGTATTATTTTGTGTAGTAAAGTCATATCAGATTGGTAGCCATTGTTTCCAAGCAAAATACTCCCTTTAAACACACACACACACACACACACTCATCTTCACATAACCACCAGCTCCCTTCTGTCTGTGACTGCAGAGAACTTCAAGAAAGTTTCTACTGTTTCCCTCTTGATTGAAGTTTTTTTTCCCTCCTTTTGTTAAAAAAATCGTATCGATACCGACAGACACACACGCACACACACACACACACACACGTACGTCTTAGCCAAGGGACTTAATTAGTGTGCAGATCGATGCCTGGTGACAGTAAGTGAACAGTGAGGTTGACCATTAGGGATGTAGTGACGGCTAAAGACAATTTAACTCTTTGTCCTCTCTCTATGTGACCTCTGACCCCCCCCCCCACCTTCTCCGGTGACATACATTTATAATATATGTCGTGTGCAGGACTCGAGGTCATTTCCATATTATGGAAATGTATCATCGTATGAAATCATGTTCATTTTGTACAGATTGTTGTGGTCCATAACTAAATCTGTGTAGTTTATGAAGTACTCTGGTGGTATCTGTCACATGTGTCCTCAGGTCACATGTGGACATTCTTCTGATTTTCTTTGAACACAAAATACATTTAAGCAGCTTTAAAGCAAACTGTTCTGGTTTCTGTAATGTACTAATGTACTTACTGTTATGGAACACAGATCATAGCACTGAATATGAGTTTATGTTAAAGGTCATTTCACCAACAGTTTCTACATCAGGTAAAAGAAAAAAATACAGAGCTAGAATAGGAGGGTAATATTCTGACCGATGAATATATTGAGAAAAAAGAGATTAAATTGTTCATTTACAAGAAACAAAACTTGGATAATCTCTGAGATTTAAGTGGTAAATTTACAAAATAAAAATAATTGTGCAAAACCGTGGTAATGCCAGTTGCCGTCTGAATTGTGTTGCCTAAACTAAGGTAAGGATGGAAAGATGCATGTTATTTTATATCCATTAATAAATACTAATATGATATATTTGTCACTCTGTGGCCGTTGTTACAGCAGTGTGTGTGGTGGGATGAGATTGATCCTACTTTGTGGTTCCTTCATGTATAGATACAATATGTCCAAATCAGCCATTAATGTAACCATGCACTCATGATGCTGTGAATGTAAATCTTCATAACATCGGAAAAGTATGTCTATCAAAAGGAAGCAGCTAAATTTGGCTGAAAAAGTAGTTTTTGATTTTGGAGATGAGTGTTTGTTTTAGCCATCAAGCTGTGAAGATGGTCTGTAGGCGGACATCGCGTACGGACAGCATGGAGGACGCTTGTGCTGCTGCACATTTCTCTGCATTCTCTTCTCTTGTTATAGGCCCAGTGTGGAGGATTCAGGGGGATCTATAAGCAGAAATTCAATATAATAATCTTTGTTTTCATTCGTGTATAATCTCCTGAAACCAAGAATGGTTGTCTTCGTTTGCCTTCATATCTACACAGACTCCACCATGTCGCACCGTATGTACAGCAGCCCAGAAGGGACAAACCAAAGCCTCGCTCTAGAGCCCTTTGACTTTTTACCTGACGCTTGTTCAAATGTGAGGCGTTTAACCGTGGCAACACCAGCCGCCGTCTGACGTCCGCTACTCCTAAAGTAGTCTGACTCCCTGCATGAACACCGTGAGGATAAGGCCGCCATTGGCCGCGTATTCTCCTCCTCCTGTTAAGCAAGAGCTCCGCCACTGCATCCTGTGCTTAGCGCCGTGATTGCTTTAAAGAAATACAAAGAAACCAGAGTGTTTCCCCTGTACCAGAGTGATACTGTGTAGAGGTAGGTCGGCTATGAGAGACTCCTCGCACTTACCGGGTGTTATGGTCAGGATGGCCTACGATCAAGGCCAGTAGAGCACTGACACCTTCTGAAAGTGTTTTCCCCAGAGAGTCATGCTGTCTCTGGGAGTACTGTAATTGTACAGAAGAACCTGAAACATGTTGACTGACTGACTGTGTCGCCTCCACAGGAAGCTGCAGTCTAAGCAGACCGTAGTCCAGCAGAGAGACGACGAGTTGTGCCGGAGACCCCTCCGATCAGCCGCCGACAGCCACAACACGCCGAGCAGCAGCAGGAAGAGAAACATGGTGAGTTACACACACACACACACACACACACACACACACACACACACACACACACCCTCAAAATGAATAAACTTCCATTTGAACTTCCTGAGTCCCGTCATTCAGGTTCATCGAGTAGGAAAAAGAAATACAGCCACGATTCATTCCCCGTGTTCATGATATGATCATGTATGATAGAGTGGAATCTGTTCCCATTTGCTTCTCCACGACCTTGAAGTAATAACACGGAAAATAAAATATGAAGTACTGAATTTAAAATGTCGCTTTTAGCTCATTGTTTTGGTTTTTCTATCCATTTTTCTCAGGAGGCATGATATTAAGTTATTAAAATCAACCCATTGTATATGCTTGACAATCTAATAGCTCTGCATTGCATTAAGTCAAAATAATGTCTGGAGGGCTGCAACAAATTCGCTACTGATTAATCTATGGACTATTTTAGTAACCACGTGGATCGACGCACAATGTGGGTTGAGACAATAGACTACGTACCCACGTGTCTGAGATGGTTAGCTAAATCAGTATGTGTGTGCGTGTTAGTAGGAGGAGGGAGAGAAAGAAAGGAAAGCCGAACTCTAAAGCAAGGCACTAAGCGCCGCCGTACGATGTAAGAACAGCTTCTCTGTCACGTAAAAACTCTGCGGTCAGAGTCGCATCCAGCCAGCCACATCTCTAAATGTTTATACAGTGATAGTTACAGTTCTAAATCCTACTCACGGGCCAATTTAAAGAAGAGAAAACAAAACCGAACAAATAAAATAATACCCAAAACAAAGCAGATCATTATCACCGCGGTGAAATACGAATATTGCTTTCTTATCTCCCCGGAACCCGGCCGGCGATTCGAGGTTCGGCCCGCCGTGCTTCTGGTAATAAAATCACAATCTCCAAATCCACAAGCAGTAACTGATCTAATGCAACACGGTTACAGCAGCAGGAAATACACAGTACAGCGGGACTCAGCGGTCCGCGATGCTTGCACAATAACACGTTCTAAACACTACAGTAACCTCGGTCGATCGGTCCTTCGAGGGGTGAATGCACTCGATTGCGCGGTGCAAATCAGCTCAGTCTCTGCAGAGAGGAGGGCTCTTCGGCAAAGAAAATGAGAATTGTCGTCCTTTGGTCGGCACTTTATAGATTAATGGTGAGAGAACGGGTCGTAGAAGTTATCCGTTCTCTCACTGCAGGATCCAAAAACTCAAATATAAAAACACACTATGTTCGTCCAGCGAATTTAACTTCTGACCTAATAGGATTTCTTGAGAGGCAAACGTTTCCTTGGGGACCTCGTGGCACCAAGCGAGCTCGGACGGAAAGGGGAGATTTGAAACTTTGTTTTATCAGATGCCTGTCCTCAGGTCATAAAACCAGTGGGGAGTCCCTTTTGGCCAATGAGGGGCCAGCATTTAAGTTTGGCTGGAGCTGTTGGGTGTGGTCACCTTCCTTGGAGCCTGGCCTTATCAGCACCCAGATCAGCCCCTTGTTGAAAGAAGGCCAGCATGTGCTCCTTTGTTTAAAAGCACATGTGAGGGCCCGAGTCAGCCATGAGGTCAGAGTCAGACCCCAACAATGCTCATTTAGTCACACATAACTTTTCAGAGGCTTTTTAATACTAGAGCCAGTTTCCATCTCCTGATGGAGTGAAAGGTTCCTCTGCCCATCTCTTCAGGTGAGCTCTGAGACCAGTGAGCATGCTCAGAAGCCTCCAGTTGAGGGGGAGGGCAGCGCCCCCAAGAGGATGAAGCAGTGTGACGCTCCAGAGCAGAGGTGGGATCCTTTTACTTCCTTTATTGTTCTTGGCAAGCTTTCAGTCCTCTTTCAGTCCTTTGACCTAACTTTGATCTTTACAGTAATACGGTTGCTTTCTTGTCCAATATGATTTGAATGTGTGTCCAGCAGTGCAGAGGCGTCCTCGTCCAGCTGTGTGATCCTCTGAGGGATGGAGATGACGGTGGATCCTGCACCATCACCTCAGACCCACTCTTGTGCTCCACTCGGTTTTGCCAAATACACACAAAAGCACTTTTTACGGTGCAAGTCAGGAGATTCTGATTATTACTAACAGCAGCTTCTGCTCATCCTGGACGTGAAACTCTCTCAATCTGCTGCTTCAAAGTCCAAACATGTGATGACTGTTTAACTGGAAGCGGTTTGCTCCAAACACCCTTTTTTATGAATTCATGTTGTCTTTCCCCTGACTCTTATATTTTGTCTATTGTCTCCTCACATTTGGGAAAAACACTATTATGAAATAAATAGACTTTTAAAAAATGTCTCATTTTGAAATAACAATAGTTATAAGGGACTATTATATTAATTATTATCTTATAATGTCTTATTTTCTATATAATAGTGGTCAATATAATCCAGAGTCTAGGGTAGGTCATCTTGAGAAACTCGCAACAGTATGCTTGATTTAAAGAATGGTCCAACTGAATATCCAGCTAGTGACGTAGTGATAACGTAGTGATGATGTCTCTTTTCCAGTGAACGTATTTACAGCACGAGCTGACAGAAAGTCACCACTGACAGCCCCCCCCCTTCAGGCCTGAGCGTTTGATTTATGGATTTCTGTCGGGATATAATGAGAATTTCAACAAATATAACAAAAGAAGAAGATTACTACCCTGGCTTTAAGCTAGCTGATCCCTAATGTATTAATCATCACACTATGGATTGGAATGACAGAATGATACATTGCAGCACACTGGATAGCTGCTCAGTGTACACTCTTTATTACAACACTGCTACATCCGGGTTCACCCCAAGCCTTTCTGTTGCTGCTGTCCGGCCCATGTGACCTGGACTGGACCGGGTCACATGACCACGGTTCCCGCCTCCTTTACTCAGCTTTACTGCCTCACACTAACGTGATCATCTGTTCAAATGTACAATTCTTGGAATGTCTGATTTGATTGTTTTATATACCAGATATACAGATACTCATAGCTTTTACATGAGACACTGATGAGTTATTATTATTATTATCATAATGAATGGGATGAGTGCATTTAATCAGCTGCACTGTATTCTAGCAATGATTTCCGTGTTTCTGCATCCAGGCAAGAAAACCTGGTTAACAGATGTAAAGTTCTATATGTTTTATTACATTACTTATCCTTCATTATATCTATTATTAACCAATCAACAGATATGTGCTTCTCTTCTGCATTTTATTAACAATATTTTGCATTTTCAAGCGTAGTGTGTATTTTACAGATCATTTTATTATTGTGCTATTTTTGACACCATTTTGGTATCAAAAGCTTTTATAGGGTTTACAAATCATGAATGGAGATGGATATCATTTAAACGTCCCAAATAAAACTCTAAAAGAAGTGATTGTGTATTTCATCACACCCATCAACGACAACGCACACTGTCCGACATCTTCTCCCACCAATGAAAACAGTTTGGTCCAAAGACCTTCATCAGACAAGCATCATTTAGTCTTTAAGTTCGGTTCATGTTTTTTCAAGTCTGTCTATGAACACGAGGCGCTCACTTCAACTGAACCAGTTTCCACTTGCCCCTCACCGCTCCCCTCATTCATACTGTCCAATAAAAGAGCTCTTCCTCACAAGTCACGAGGTCAAAAGCCACAGTTCTTGTTCTGGGCCAAAATATATTCCAGAGTTTATCTGAAGTCTCCATGACGCTTCAGATTTAATTAAATCAAGTGGTTTCTGTGCAGTGACACCGTTTGTCTAAACCCGACCGAAGACCATTTGGTCGTCCATCGAGAAAGTTTAGCGTACAGAGTGTCGTACAATGCACTTTTCAGGAACGAATGTAATGAATGTTATACACATGTTATATACCGGATTAAAGAAAATAGTCTGGGCTACAAGATCGTGTAAGCCATTTTTACATGATCCAAACACAATTCTACACAACTCAAACAAACAACTATAAGAATTACCAAAATATCAGTCATATTTTGCCATGAGTGAGCCGACTCCGCACTCCGTTCGGAGCTACCGAGAGATAGCTACATGCTAACAAGGAAACCGAGATGCCAGAAAGCAAGCCAATTCTACACAGATTCCGGAGATATCTTTAATATTTCTCTCCGTGAAACCATTACCGAGATATGAGCCAACAAACACCAGAACCACAAACCGATTATCGATTATTATCAGAAACGCACCTCACCTTTCGCCATTTTCATAAAGACAAAAGCATAAAATCCCGTTTTATTTTCTGTTCAACGGATGTCCTGTTTGTCATAAATCTGTTTCCGTGAGTACAATGGGTGTAATCTAAACCAGAGGGTAGGATTTGACTTTCGGCGTATCGAATTGTACGCTTCACGAGAGACGGTGTGTTTTTGATTCTGACTGGCTAACAGTGCTGTCAATCTTTTCCACGTGGGGGTGGCTCAATTCTCTAGAGTCTAGACTCTGACGTGTCGAAAGAGGTGTCAATGACTTCATTCGACCAATGGGCTGCTGACTTACAGGTCCGCGTAGACACAGAGGAACTGGACTCAGCCAAACTCCATGATGCAGAGACACAGAGAGGATTCTGGCTCTCAAAATGAAGCCAAACTGCTGTATTGGGATGTATTGAATACCGTTAGTGATATACAAGTGAAATATATAGTTATATAGTATAGACAATTAAAATTGAACAGGTCTCCAAAATGACCATTTTGGTTGACCTCGCCTGACCTCTCTGTACTAAAACCTCTGTAATCTTGTTCTGCTTCACTTAATCAAAGTCAGACTTTGCAGAGGGACTGTTCACATGTTGTGCTATGATTTGGGAGAGGTTTAAACTTTCAGCTGCGTCATTCAAAAGAGATAATCATCCTGAAAGTGCTTTTCTTTTTCAGGCGAACCTGAAACTTTTTAATTTGAGCTGTGTGCCATCATCATTTACTCTTAACCAGTAACATATACACAATATTTACACATCTGAACAAATCTCACAAGTGTTACCTTTATTATAACATAACAATTATTAAAATAGACCTTGTGGTTGCAGAAGTACACACTTTTTAGTATGAGTATGCAATTTTCGAGCAGAGGCCTAAAAATAGGGTTAGGGTTCAAGAGGATAAAGATGTTCAAAGTAAAACCAAAACATGACAAAAGATCTAAAAAACAGTAAGACAAGTACCGTCTTAGAGAAGTCATTTTAGATGAAGTGCATTTGACATGAAGATGAATGAGGGAGAAGGACATCTCCATGAGTAACAATCCTGAGTGAATAAAGAAAGACGAACCTCATGAAGGTAGAAAGATCACATCCACGTGGTTTAGGCACGTTCACATATCTGAAGGGATTTGATGTTGATTTGTATCTTTAACAGAATCACATTGTTACTCCTCCAGTAGCATTAGTATTATTCTCTCAAACTGATGGTTTCTCTTCAATCAGACAGGCTCGGCCTCTGCTTGTCTTCACACTGCAGTACTGGTCGATCGACACCAGATGGAGGCAGAGACCACATATTTCCTTGTGACGACCTTTCACAACGTCTCATCTTCCACTGGACAGCACCAGTTTCTCCCTGATCACAACATCCACATGACCACAAACAGCAGAGTTATTTCACTGTTCGCTTTCTGTAGGTAAAACAGGATGTACACATGATCAATAAAAGTCATATGCATATAATAAGCTTAGAATATTGGTATAGATGTACCTTATATTAAAGAGCCCACCTGTTAAAGGGAATACATTCGGTTTGTCCTGAGGAAGAGACGCACTCCTTCAGTGGCATCACACTTGTGTAAAGGTTTTCCATTTACTGCAACAGCAATACTCATTTTAGCCTAACTTGTATTTATATTGTACATTTCTAGTCTTTCTCCTACTTATAATCTAAACTAGTGATCGTTTATGCACGAGCACCGATTGCAGGAGCAAGTCAACATGCGGACTGGAGGAGCCGGGGATCGAACCGCCATCATGCCGAAGAGAAGACGAGCAGCTCCATCACTGATGCTGCTCTGGAACAAATGAATCCATCTCTGAAGTTGAGCAGACAGTATGTTGAGAGAGGAGGTTCCATCCAGGGAGGTTGCTCAGTGTTGGCGTATGCAGATTGATTGAGCACCAAATGTTATTATGAATTAATAGTGTTCAGAGATAATGATATGATTGGACCGTAGCCAGGACATGTGACTTGGGAAATGACCTCAGTAACTCCTTTAGTTTTTAGTTTACTTTCTTTCTGGTTTGGTCCAGATTAGTTCTGATAAAAGGAAGAACACACACTGTTCATGTCCATGCAGTCTTAACATAAATTACATCCATTGTGTGTGAGCAAGTTATGTAAATGAAATCTGACCTGGAAGAAAACATGAAAACCTGTAGTCCTGTTTAGAACACTGGGTAGTGGTGCACTTCAGCCTCTTGTGGCCAAAACGAGTATTACAACAACAAACACAAATTACCCTGACGAAATAAAACGTTTTCACATGCCAACATTTTTTTTACCAACTGTTTTCACTGATGGAAAATAGAAGATTAGACTTTTTTTCACCTGTTCTTAAGTCAGAAATACAAAACTGAAAACAATTTTCAATCAATCAATCTTAGAAAATGGATCAGCAGTATGTCGTCCTCCTTCTTTCCTCAGATGATCACATGTCTGGTTTGTCAGTGTTCCTCTCGGTTAATGCACATATTCATTGCCACTTCATCATGTAGAGCCTGTGACGCCCTGCAGAGAGACCAGAACATACATGGAATACTGCTCCCAATGTAGCCTCATTGATTAACTTGGACAACTGAAATACGTCTGTTTTTAAAGGAGCATGCGTGGGCACAATCAGACAGAAATATGATTTAAAGTAATAACGGAAAGATTTATATGTGTCACTATGAATCCAACCAGTCTGGCTAAATAGGATCCCTGAAAGCTGCTGTGACTGATTAAAGTATCAGATTTGTTTCTGACCTTTTCAGGAAATATGTCCTCTTTATTATTCAGAGAACCCCTGGACTCATTTATTTAGACCCAGCTCTGTGTTGGACTCTGTGGTGAGACTCTGTTTACCATGAGCCTGGACAAACTCAGGACAGGACTAGGGCTCAACGATGGCACTCAACCCGTTACGGCTGAGCTTACAAGGTTTTTACGAGCATCCACATTCTTTAGGGCACAGTGCCATTTATTCCAATTGTGAATAAATGATTCAAAGAAACTGAGTTGTGACACAACATATACCTTAACTGAGCTAACATATGTTCAGCAATAGGAAGAGTTCCTCGACATGTGGGTGTTGACCTCTCTCCTTTCGATGACTTCTTGTGATATAATCCACATCTGTGAGTAAGTCAGCTCTTACTTTGGTCAATTTCAATTGATATAACTCATATTACTACTCGTATATAGTCATACTAATAAATAGGCCTATCCTTTTATATTAATCATTTGGTAAGTTCCTGCTATAGCTATTTCCACATATGCATCGTTTATGTTCCCATGTTTGTTCCTTGTATTTTGTATATATATTTTTAATCTACCTCAGTCTAACAAATTCACTTAATTTGTAAACCAT